GACTTATTTCATGGTTGGTTTTTGGAAGAAAAAAAAATACAGCCGGAGGCTACATCAAGACAGAAGACAGCAAATTTTGACAAAGTTAGCAAGCAGAGGAGTAAAGCTGAGGGGGTGGGCGGGTTTGGAACAGGAGCAGAGCAGAAACCCGCCCGTCTCCGTCGAGAGCCAAAGCAGGAAAAAAAAAAAAACATGCGATGATGCTAACGCCGTACATAAGATCATAACTTCAATATTATGTTCACATTGTTAGGCGTAATTGTCATTCCTGATTGGTCCATTTCTTAGTTCACAATTTTATTTTATTCTACATTTGTCATGCTATGCAGTGATGTATTTTCCTTTCTGTATTGTATCTACCGTATTGGCCCGAATATAAGACGGTGTTTTTTGCATTGAAATAAGTCTTATATTCGGGTTCTAGACATTATACCCTTTCACGACGCTAGATGGCGCCAGATATCATTGAAGCGAATGCTGAACTTGACTTCCCAGGTCAAAGTGACCCCCTGCCACGAAGAATAAAAAAATAGCGGTAGCACGAAGAAGAAAAATAAAAAATAGCGGTAACAAGGAAAAGAGAAGCCAACAGGGGGAGACCGAACAGGAAGCTCGGCTGTTCACTGTTAAGTGTCCCAATATATTAGATGTGAAAAGAAAACAACTGGGATGAGGGGTGGGAAAAAACGGTCTCCAACCATTCTCCTTAAGTGGAAGCATGGTTTGATCCAGAGGAAAAAAAACCTCAGCACATGCCGCGCATATTTAAAATACAAGTACAACAAATCTCACAACTTGACAGTGAATGGAGAGGATGGAAGGGGGGAAGGGGTGGACGCGCCACAATCAGACCGACGAGTAGCTCAGCTTAGCCAATCAAGTTGAAAAGCGAGGGGCTGGAAGGAGTAGTTGATACGAAGAACTTGATATTGCGGCACATGCATTATTTGCGTTTGATGATGTCTGCATGTCAAGCACCTGTAGCTTATCATTCTCTCTCGGGAAGGGGAGGGGGCAGATAAGAATGCTAGCGTCCGGTCAAATTTTTTCCATCCAGGTGAAAGTCCAGATCGTAGTTCTTTTGGGAACAGGTTGTCCATAATTTCAGACAACCTTGAAAGACTTTTAACTTGAGACTTTTCAAGGGTGTCAATCAGCCAAAGCCTTGATCAGTCATTGAATTTATTCCAGGCCGGGCCAACTCCTCCAAGTTGTTTTCTATTTTGCGAAGCGACTCCAATCCCGCAACCACTTTGCGATTGAGTTGGTCTAAGTGTTGATCACCTGCCCCGCATCAACCAGAAAGGCCGGCATCTTATTCCCTTCTAACGAGGCTGCTCTCGCCGGCTGAATTTTGTTATAGAACAGGAAATTGTCAACTCCAAACAGCAGGATACCTGTTACTAGAAGACCAATAATGTGGATGTCTTCCACATCTTCTATGGACAATATTGTCAGGCAAATAAAACTGCACTGCTGCCAAGGATCTGAGGTGTGCCTAGCAGCAAATGTCCCACAGGGGCAAGCAGGCTCCCCACCACCTGCTATTTTTCTTGAGAAAAAAAAAAATGAAAATGTCCAGCTGACTTATTTCATGGTTGGTTTTTGGAAGAAAAAAAAATACAGCCGGAGGCTACATCAAGACAGAAGACAGCAAATTTTGACAAAGTTAGCAAGCAGAGGAGTAAAGCTGAGGGGGTGGGCGGGTTTGGAACAGGAGCAGAGCAGAAACCCGCCCGTCTCCGTCGAGAGCCAAAGCAGGAAAAAAAAAAAAACATGCGATGATGCTAACGCCGTACATAAGATCATAACTTCAATATTATGTTCACATTGTTAGGCGTAATTGTCATTCCTGATTGGTCCATTTCTTAGTTCACAATTTTATTTTATTCTACATTTGTCATGCTATGCAGTGATGTATTTTCCTTTCTGTATTGTATCTACCGTATTGGCCCGAATATAAGACGGTGTTTTTTGCATTGAAATAAGTCTTATATTCGGGTTCTAGACATTATACCCTTTCACGACGCTAGATGGCGCCAGATATCATTGAAGCGAATGCTGAACTTGACTTCCCAGGTCAAAGTGAACCCCTGCCACGAAGAATAAAAAAATAGCGGTAGCACGAAGAAGAAAAATAAAAAATAGCGGTAACAAGGAAAAGAGAAGAAAATAAGAGATAACAGAAAATGCAGAAATGTAGTGACAATCTGGAGAAAATTGGGTCGAAGATCGGCCAGGTGAACCGGCAGCTAAGGAGAAGTTATGATGTAATTTACATTTCAAAAACCAGACGCCATTCATTTACGAATGTGATTGCACTTTAGATATGAATGAGGCAAAATAACATGCTCTTTCTCTCAAATATATTGTTATAATCATTTGTTTCAGATGTACTGTAATTATTTTCTGTATAAAAATTAATTTGGTGTTCAAAAAGTCTTTTTTCAAACTTGAGTCTTGAAAAAGAGGGGGTCGTCTTATAATCAGGGCCGTCTTATGTTCGAGCCAATACGGTATTAGTGTGTTCTAATTACACGGTCTGTCAACAACAAATGACAGGACAAACAGTAAAAGCCTAAACAGGAAACTTGACCATTCTCATAGGTCAAACTTCAAATTTTGAATAACTGAACTGTCATCCAAACCTGAGCCGAAGTTTCCACTCGAATTTCCAGCGTACTGTGTTATCTTACAATTACCATTACACAAGGACTTGTCCTTCTGATGGCAATGACATTTGCATCGACACAGTTATTCACTTTTGAGAACATCTTATTGCTGTTGCAAAAGGCTATTATTCACAGGAAGGCGACTCGGGCAAAGAGAGACCCAACTCACATCCATCACATCTATTTAAATGTTTAGATGTACATCTACATGGATCTCCTGGGGGCTCGGTTGACAATTGAAATCGACATCCACTTGACGAATTAGATTTACATCTGATCCATCAGGGGGAGGTATCAAGATAAATTAGGAACTTCTGACGATTTAGCTTTCTGGAGAGGGGGTGAGGGAATGGGGTTCAGATGCAAAAAGCAACCCTTCTGTCAAAGCCTGAGCTGGACCGCCCATTGGCTTCCATACATCCTGACTGTTGCAGTCAAACACCACTTGATTGACTGCCAAACAAAAGGGGGGCCAATCATCTGTCAGTCTCCAACTAACTTCTTTTTAATTCCCTGACAGTCAAAATGGATGGCGGCAGTACATCGGGGATGTTGGATTGTATTTGATTTCTTGCAAACAAGTAACGAGAGGAGTGGATATAGATGTGTGCCTGTTTCATCCGTAAAGGTCAACAGATGCTCATTTTTATGACTGTGGTTGATTTTGAAATGATGTCATGAAAGACTGTCTAACAAGGGCTCGGGCTCTCAGGCTCTCAGGCTCTCGGGCTCTCGGGCTCTCAACGTAGCATTTCTCTGTAAAAATGAGCCCCGACAAGCTGCTGGAACACTTGTAGCATTATAACTGAGACCACACAACACAGCAAGCAAAGAAGATTTGAAATTTAACAGGACATACTGCCGCACAACATAAATTAAATAGAGAAAAGGGTTTGGTGGCTTAGGGGTATAAAGATGAGTGGTTCCCTCACAGTGACAGTGATGAAAGAGTAGATCGTAGCATGGAGATCATCAAATGACCCAAACGACAACTCTGTCAGCTTATCCAACTAAATATTTTACACGATATGACAGAACCATAGCAACCTACGTGAGGATGAAATTGTATTTCAAAAACCCAACGACAGCTGGAAATCCCTTGCTGGAAGAATAAAAGTGACATCAAGTTTAGACTACAAAATGGCATCATGAACCTTGCTGAAAAATTGTGACAACAATGACACAAGCTCCTTCAGAACCTCCTTTTTACACGGTCACAGACACTTTAAATTCGTACACTGTTGTTAAGCTAATTAGAATTCGGATTGCTCTTGATCGATCTGCATCTAAATGTCGTTTTTTTTCTGGACTGAGTGGAGTGGTTTAGAATTCTCAACAACGCGCTAATATACAGTGTGTGTGTGTGCCTTAGTGGAACGAGTAAAAGGCATATTGCAGAGGAATTGACAGGAGCCATTCGGTGTTGCGATGTCAGAGTCATATTGACATGCAAGTGCTTTGAGATTTGGGACTAAATATAGCAGCTCTCCTGGAAATAAACACAGGGCTTTTTTGTCCACGGTCTACAACTGTTTTTGCTGCCTCTGACAGTATAAGTAGTAGAAGTAATAAAGAAAATTTAATAGGACTCTGTAGTTGTACTGGGAACAGCGACATCATCCAAATACAACATGTGATTAGGGTGCCATGAAAGCTATTCTCTGAAGCTTTCCTTTTGTATATTATTGTCCACTGCAACATTATAAACTACAGACTGATGTTGGCAGTCATACCAAGAAAGAAATTCAAACAGCAGAACATTCGGTCACTTGGCAACAAGCTCCAGGAACTGAACCACAGCTGCCCAGCGGCGCCAGCAAGTTGCTGGGCCCTGCCAGGAGCTGGTGACCAGCTGGATTTTTCTTGCTGGTGTCACCAGGTACTAGCTGGGCAATAAAAGCATGTCGGTCTTGCTGGGTGGCTGTGGCTCAGTTGGGAGAGCGGCTTGCCTAGCGGATGAGGGTTCGAGTGTTTGACTCTTGGCTGCTTTTGTTGTTCTTTTGCTGGTGGTCTTGTTGGTGGCACCAGCAGGAAAACACAACAAAACCATGCTGACTGATCTATGACCCCTTTGTTTTTTTTTTTGAGAGAGAGAGAAAGGCCGAAAGTATGATTTTGATGATTAAAAACTGAGATGGGATATCACATGCACTTGCCATCCATTTCACAGATATCCTAGATAACTGTAAACAACACACTAGAAAGAGAGAGAGAGAGAGAGGTGAGGGCGGGTGGGAGTGAGAGTCAATGGTAACTAATTTATGAACTGTCTGATGTCTAAATAATGCATTTTGCCCTGATCACAAAAAGAAAATTAAAGCAACTCACGTTCGCATGCGTCTCCTTTCTGATGAAATCCTGCTTTACATATGCATTTCCCAATGGGCACCAGCCATTCCCCTTCAGCGCTGCAGTGCATCTTCGGAGAGTTGTCAGCCTCCTCCTCCGCATTGTTTACGCATATTCCCTCAACCTCCACCAGGGAGGAGAACTCTGATCCCGTCACGGTGTCGGGGAATATGGTCAAGTTCTCGATGATGGACCAGCACTTCTTATAATAAACTTTGACAGAGACCAGGGCGATACATGCCCCGACGTCTTGAAAGGCCAGGTAAAAGCCCTGCCTGGACAGGGGGCCAATTATGCGCACTTCAGTGTTGAGCTTCATCTTCCTCTCACCGAGGTCGCCCTGAGTGAAGCTTTCATCTGCTGCAATGGTGTCAATTTTAACATACTGGGTCTCTTGCATACTCCTACCCACCTCTGAATCGGTTTCCTGGTAATACAAGTTGAAAGTCTCCTTGCAGGTTCCCACCATACCAGGTAAACTGTTACAATCCCTTAAGGTAAACTTCAGCTCCACAAAAATTCTCTGGGCATTGCGCTTTTCGATCCAGTTAGTCCGAAGCCAGTTATTCTGATTGGGCTCCATGACTCTGCAAACCTGGTAGGTGCGAATGGGTGTGTAGCTCTCGTCCAAGCCGCTGATCTCTTCCCACTAAAAAAAAAAAAAGATGAGAGGTGCAATGATTAACCAATGAATTGATTATCAAATTGAGCGACAAATATTTTTGATCATCGATTCAGCGTTTAGACATCTGGTTTAATTTGCAATGGTCCAAATCCTCAGAATTCCCAAATTTTCTCCGATTTCTGTCGTCCTTAATGGCAGCAGACTTTCAATCTCAAGGGTGGAAATTACATCTTGTGGTTTTGATTGTCTTTGTGTGCCCTGCGATTGGCTGGCAAGCAGTTCAGGGTGTCCCCCGCCTGCTGCGATAGGCTCCAGCAATGAAATAATTAGGGACGTTCCGATCATTGTTTTAAGATGCCGATACCCATACCGATCATCCATGAGTGTGATCGGCCAATACCGATACCCAACACTTGAATCTGCTGTAAAATTTTCAAGTTTAAAGATACAACTATTGATTTTTCTAAAATTATCTATTAATCAGTTGATTTTTATTTTTCAATGACCGCATTTTCCACATTATAAGGCGCACCTAAAAGCATTCCATTTTTTCAAAAGCCGACAGTGCGCCTTATAATCCGATGCGCCTTATATATGGATCAATATTCTGATTTCTTGAACGTAGTATTTTAAATGTTTTGTAAAGTGCTTTGTTATAGCTGCAGAGGTTGTGAAAGTGCTATATAAATAAAGCTGTATTGTATTGCATTCCCTCTGGCGTAGCTCCATCTAGTGGATGCATAATGTAACCCCTCCCACAATTGTAGCTTCTATTCCATGCACCTTACAATGCATCAATCCATACATCCATCCATTTTCTGATCGGCTTTATCAGTGTGCCCTATATATGTAAAAACAGTTTGAAAATAGGCCAGTCATTAAAAGTGCGTCTGATACTCCGGAGCGTCTTACAGTGCGGAAAATACAGCAATTGAGTGATATTAAAAAAAAAACAAACAAAAAAAAAACATTAGTTCAATCTCCACCCCTTCATTATCCAAAAACAGGACATTGCTTTAAAAGGGACATTGCAGAAAATTCACAAATTATGATTAAATTCCTGGGTTAGTCTATAACATGTCAGAAAATAGGTTGAAATGTTATTTTCCCCAAGTAAAACAAGTAATTTACAAATGTCCTTTAAGGATAACACACATAGATAATCACTATGTCTACATCGAGCCTTATATTCCAATTAGAATTAAAACAAATCACCCAATGGAGTGAATTGAATTTGGGTTCAAATGGTTGATATATTCCTGTTGCCAATCCTGCTGGAGTATGAAATTAATCATTGAACCATTAATTCCATGAAGTATAAATATGATAAAAAAGTTGTAGGAGGAAAATAAGAATGCTCCAAATAACATTTATGTTTTCAACTATAGTATCTTAACACTGGGTGGCACCCACGTAACCGTGAAGAAGAAATCAGACATGACGTCATGTCATGGTGCTGCTACACCGTAAATACATGAATTAAAAATATAAGACAGTTGCGATTACTGCAGTAATCAAACTTGAATGTCAGCAACCACTGTCCATTCTGAAACTCTTTGCAGCCATTGAAGGTTTGAGCTGAGCGCAACGTAGCGAGATGCTAAGGCTAATGCTAAACCTGCTAGCTTTGGCGCCGGTTCTCAGAGAAGCTATAGTATGTTCAATTCTGAAATGCTTTTCATGAGGCTATTTTTTTTTTTTTGCCAAAACTTGTGCTATCAGGACAGGGCATATATTCTTGATTTATTTTATTTTTTTTTGGGGGGGGGGTTGTTTTGTTATTTGTGATGCCAATGAACTGCAGCAACACTGAACAGGCGTGTCATTTGATTGAGGCATTCAGATCCCAGATTATATTGCGTGGCGCAATACATTTAATTAATTTAAAGTTATGAGGATGTTAATCCTTGTCATATACTATGTGTTTCTGTTATCAGTAGCTGAATGTGTGACAGATTCAAACAAAAATGTGTCAGTTTAATTTTCTTTTTTTTTTAATCAACTCATATAACTTTACATTGTGTATGAAATACTAAAATCCATGTCAATGGCTCAATCTCGGTGGTGAATGGTAATGTGTTGTGTATTGCTGATTTTAAATAAATAAATACAAACATAAATAAAAAGTAATGGAATGGAAAGACAGGGAAAAAAGAAGTCACTCCCTGACTGGAACATTTGTGATCGATCGGCCTTCAGAGGCTTTGATCGGATTCACTGATCACACACTTTTTCACGAACATCGACTGATAATTATCAGCCAGCGAATGATCGGAGCATCCCTATAATTCAGGGGTGCCCAACTAGTCAATCACAGTCAACCGCAGTTATTAATATGATATATTTTTGTGTTAGTGTACACAGCACCCTGAGCATCCTCTCAGTTCCACCTTTTAAAAAAATTTTTAAATAAATAACAAAGCAGTTCATCTTTAACCTACGGTGGTGCATGACCTTTCTCACAGGAAGTTGTTAGCGGTCAGCAGTCTGAATTGTACCTAGCGACCAGAGCCGTTGAGATATATCCATTTTTTGTTTATTCTCATTCAAAGTTTTTTTGCTCCGCAATTCACTGATGGCATTTTAAAAGAATGTGAATCTAGGGCGCCAGGAACAGCATTTTAAAACGATGCACGCGTGCTATGTTCGTCATGTTTCCGCTCTCAACACGCTACAAAAAGTGCATCCCTGGCTCCCTGTGTCAGGTCTCACACTAAGGTAGGCAGTGATTTCCTTTTTACAAACTCAGTATTGTATCGAGTTTATTTTTCTGTTTGTTCCTTTTAGGGTCCGTTATGACTGTTGCTCATCATGGCATGCGTTTGTGCATGCGCGCACAAGGGGTTTTAGTTAACCTCTCAAACACCTTTTTTTTTCATTTGAATTGTATAAGTGACAGGCAATCATGACCTTTAAATGGGCGCATTTTCAAGGAACAACAAACACAATATTACCTCCACTCAAGTAATCAGTCCACAGTTACTTTTCGATGATCCTTATGGTTAACTTCTATAAACATAAGTAACATCGACCTTTGAGAGTGGAGCACCTTTTACTATCAGAGAAAGAATTGACAAGAGATAACCATTGAACACTGAACAGCACACTCATCTCATATACATATATATATATATAGAGAGAGAGAGAGAGAGAGAGAGAGAGAGAGAGAGAGAGCGAGATCAGTGGCGATTGCTCTCGGACTGCAAGGGAAGCTCGGCTTCCCCTAAAATGTCAAAGAATAAGTGATCAAATATCATACCTGTCAACTTTTCGGAGCGCCAACCTGTATAAACTACCAAAAAAATCCTTATAAAGAGCAAAAAAATCCTTATAACATACCAAAGAATTTTATATGTCAAAATAATGGCAGAAAAAAACCCACGAAATATGAATGATATATTTGTTTCCTTGTAGAGCTTGCTTGTACACTACCGAAGTATGCAATGAATACTCTGCTGTTTTCAACTAGGAACCACGTGATTTACTGGAAAGTTACCGGAAATGAAAGCATTCGAGTAGACTAGCACCATTCTGGGCAAAAGCAAACGGA